TCTTTCAGGCTAAGACAAGATGGAATTTCAGCCCTCGGGGAGGAAACACTCACAGGGTACAGTACGCAGTCTATGAAAGGAATTCACCTTCTAGCTGATCATTTAGCAACACTGATGGAGGCCAAAGGCAGTGGAGAATTCCAGGGCTCAGACACCGTTACATTTTTTTGCATTTTTGATTTCACATTGACCTGGGATCTGGCTTTAGTCCCCCCTCCCCCTAGCAGGTTGAGTTCAAGATCCTTGTCCTCGCAATTATGTCCCTCCACGGCCTTGCCCCACCTTACCTCTGTGACCTCCTGCAATCTTACCTCCCACCTCAATGGCTTTCTCTGCTCAGTGAATGACAGTCTGCTCATGTCCCCCTCCCAACCTGCCCCATCGTTGGTAAAGCGAGATTTCAACCATTCTCTCTTCTCTGTGCGCAAATTATAAATAATAAATAATCCTTGCATTTGATACAGCGCCTTATTACGTCTTCAAGACATCTCAAAGCACTTCACAGAATATATTGTAAACTGTACATTTTGTGGGCAAAACGTGGCAGTCAACTGCGCACAGCAGTGACCAATAAAAACAGCCGTGTATTGAGTGACCAAATTATTATTTTTTTTAAGGGATTTTTTACCGAAATAAATTGGCTGCCACGTTTGCCAACAAAATGCAGAGTCACTACATTTTACAGTAAAATCCTGTGGAGTGCATTAAGAAGTTCCCTCAATGTCAAATGGATTATTATATGGCTCATCTTCCAAAGTGCTGATCGCACATATAAAGCATTAGGTTTAGGAGTTGACCGTCCAATTTTGCTGGACCTTTTAGAAGGCTATCTCGATTATGAGTTTCTCCACCTTAAAATACAGGCATCATATTCAAGTTATTGAATTTGGTATTCCTGGAGTTCTATATTACCTTTGCAGGGTGCTTGAATGCTTCATTCTTTGAGGTTTTAACCATGAACAAATCTGCAAAGAAACATTTGAAAGTATTAATAGTGGGGAACAAGAAAATTACATTGTTTTGATTGTAGCCTGTGCAGAACAACAGAACGTGTGCCAATACACTTAGAAAAACAAGAGAAAATTGCTTTTTGGAACAAACTTAGGTCAAAGCTATTTAATATACATGGTCTTTCTTCCGCAGAATCCGAACAGCTCTTGTGGTACGGTGATTGACAGCAATTTAGTGACTCTTGATTCAAAGGGAGAAAAGATGCTGGGAATAGAATCGTGGGGAATGAAATAATGATTAAAGCCACCTCCTGAAGCTAAATTTAAACTTGGATTTAAACAAAATGAGTCAGGGAAGAAAGTGCCCTCCTGGGTAAATGAAGTTCGTAAGTCACTTTTCTTGAAGTGAATCATTGCTTGGATATACGAATGATAAAAAATGACTGACGTGCGGGTCAGAGTAGTGTGTCAGTCTGCTTTCACAGCTGGTGATGAGAGCAGCGAAACATTGCAGTGCATGAGATATTCCCATTGCAGAGAATACACTGTACATATTAATCTTGGCAAAGTGTCAAACTCCTTTATTAAAAAAAACAGGATGTTAAATTTCTCCCACAAAATTTTGCCCACAAAATATACAGTCAATTCACTTTACAGTATATTCTCTGAAGCGCTTTGAGACGTCTTGAAGATGTGATAAGGCACTACATCAAATGCAAGGATTATTATTATTATTAATATAAATTAGAGGCGACAAAAGTGCTGCGTCTATTAATCTGGACAATTTTTTAAAAAAGTGCGTGGCCAAATAAAATACACAAGGCGTAGTGATTATTTTTTAAAATTAAAATGATCATGTTTTTGTGCACTAATCACAATAGGTTTCACTGAGAAAGGTCTTCATGAAGTCAAATGCCCTCTTACACTCTGGCAATGCATTAGTCACCATTGATTTGGACATTCTGAACATCTGTGATCAGGGCTCCTTCTGCCTTCTTGTCCTCCTCGACCTCTCTGCCGCCTTCGACACCGTCAACCACTCCATTCTCAAACACCGCCTCTTCTCTTTACTTAATCTTCGCGGACCTGCCCTTGCCTGGTTCGATTCCTATCTCCCTCACCATCTCCACTTTGTTGTCTCTAACGGTTTCTCCTCCAACTCCCGCACTGTCATGTCTGGCGTCCCCCAGGGCTCTGTCCTTGGCCCTCTCCTCTTTACTATCTATATGCTCCCCCTCGGGGACATCATCCGCAGACATGGGGTCAACTTTCACATGTATGCAGATGACACCCAACTCTATCTTTCTGCCTCTACCCTCAACTCCAGGACCACTGCTGTCCTGACAGACTGCCTGTCAGACATCAAGTCCTGGATGAGGGCAAATTACCTACAGTTGAATGTGAACAAAACTGAGGCCCTCCTGATTGGCTCACGCCAGCGCCTCAGCACCTCAGGCTCTGGCAGCATCAACCTCCATGGTTGCTCACTACAACTCACCAGCCAGTCAGGAACCTCGGTGTCTTGTTCGACTCTTAACTGTCTTTTCTTCCCTACATCCAAGCCATGACCCGCTCTACCTTCCCTCACCTCCATAACATCGCCCGACTCCGCCACTACCTCACCCCTCAGGCCATTGAAACTCTTGTTCATGCCTTCATCACCTCCAGGCTCGACTATGCAAACGCCCTGCTTGTCGGCCTTCCCAACTCCTCCCTCCACAGGCTGCAGATAATCCAGAACTCTGCAGCCCGTGTCCTCTCCCACACCAAACTCCATGACCCCATCTCCTCCATTCTTGTCCAACTCCATTGGCTTCCTATCCTTCACAGGATCCAGTTCAAGATCCTGGTCCTCATCTACAAAGCCCTCCATGGCCTCGCTCCACCCTACCTCTGTGACCTCCTACCAACCCGCCCGTTCCCTCTGCTCAGCCGGCTCCGGCCTGCTACACATCCCCTGACCCACCCGCCCCACCATTGGCGGGAGAGCCTTCAGCCACTTTGCCCCCAACCTCTGGTATTCCATCCCACAATCACTCCGCCTCGCCGCCTCCTTAGCCTCCTTCAAGTCCTGCCTCAAAACCCTCCTCTTTGGGCCATGCCATCGGTCACCCCACTTCCCCTCCCCTCCCTCCTCTCTCCCTGACCCCAGCTCGGGTCTGAAATGCTGTACACAGTCCAGCGCCTTGGAACGTCCTCCCGACGTGAAAGGCGCTATACAAATGTAATCTTGTTGTTGTTGTTGTGCAATTGCTGCCATTACTACGACTACTGTAGTTTTACAGCAGGTGGCGCTATCCATCCAAGTTGGACCATTCATCCCTTCGGATTTCTACTGTAGAACTAATAATTCAAATTCAGAAAAGTGTGAGCTTTCACTTTTTCCAGTACAAAATGCCCATTCACCCACTTTCCCCTATAAAACACAGTCATTACACTTTACAACAAATCCTGTGAAGCACTCTGTGATTTTCTCCTGACGTGAAAAGGTATTAAATCAGTATGTTGTGGTTTTGATGGTCAGGGTAGCATTTTCTCATTCCATGATTTATTTTATTTTTCCAGCCTTTAACTCTTCCAATTCCACACTAAGTCATTCACATTTCTGCCTCTGTTCTTTCAATTTTAATAGCCCGGTTTCACTCATCTGCAGAACTTTCACACTCCATTTAGCTTGGAATCCACCAGAACCCAAATCAGTCTGAAAATAGTCAGTTGAGGATATATTAAGACAAAAGCAGTTTTTCCAGTGGGAGGAATCCATCTACCCAATAATTATCAAGCTAGATCAATTTCACAGCTTGTGAGTTGAAGAATAAAAAAAACACGTCACATACTGGGAGTTTGTACAGACTCACCAAACACTGCTAATATTTATTTCTGATACCTATCTCACAGGGAGTATTAAAAAAAAGCATGTCTGGACCGGCCCAACCATCATAGTTTAAGTACAGCTGCTTTGCAATAAGCCAAGTCTGTAAACCAAGAATAAATCCACCCAATATTGTGCGCTTTACATCGATATGAGGTGATACGTTTGTGGCACAGATACAAAGATGAAAATGTTGACTTCGATCAAAACAGTGTCCACCCACGCTCTCCCCAGTGCCTTGGAACATCCTCCCAATGTGAAAGGCACTATACAAATGTAAATTTGTTGTTGTTGTTTAGAGATATTAAGACCTAATAAAGCACTATATAAAATGCAAGGATTATTATTATTACCACTGTCCAAGTGATTCCGTCAGTGTGGAAATACTAATTATATCCACGATTTGAACAATAATGACAATTTACACTTATGGTAATAATAATCCTTGCATTTGATATAGCACTTTTAGACGTCTTAAAGCGCTTCACAGAATATACTGCAAAGTGAATTGATCGTATATTTGTGGCCGAAACAATGCAAGAGCAAGCACAAGACAGCGTGAAATGCAAGGATTATTACAGTTATTAACATTATTTCAATCATAATGACAATTTACTATTTTTTGCTCTTTTTATGTCCAAGGTGCAACATAAGTCTAAGTTGTCAATGTTATTGAAATAATATGTTAGTAACTGTAATAATCCTTGCATTTGACATATCACCTATAGGTATAATGTTGAAACTTCTCAAACGCTTTGCTGGGAATGCCTATTATTTATAATAATAATATTATTTAAAAATAATAATTATTATTATTATTTGTTGCCAAAACACAGAAATGATGTATCCATAATATACAATATATAAAATTATTCGTAATATGAATAATTCGAAACATGAACATACAATATATATCATTTTAAATATGTATATCATTCTTTATTAAAAAAAAGGCTTCAATGATTAGATTGCACTGATTTAAAAGAAAACATGGCTGCACTACCTTTAAGTTCCTCTGGGGGGCGGAGTGAGGAGGAACCCCCCTCGCACCCACCACCACCACCACAAAAAAAAACAACTACAAATCCCATAAACCCTAGCGAAAGGTACGCAAAAAGCGGTGACGTAGACACCAGGCCGCTCAGCTGACCGGCGGGAAGCGGTGACGTAGACGGCAGCTCTGCGCTCGCAGTAGTCGTCGGCGGCGGGAGGCCGGGCCCCGGGCGTGGGGGTGGGAGAGAGAGAGAGAGAGAGAGGGGAGAGTGGGGGGAGGCGGACAGCCACGTTACTGAGAGCGCGAGAGAGAGAGAGAGCGAGTGAGGAGCAGCAGCAGCCGCCTCCTCGCCATCATCAGCCGGTGACCCCCCCCCCTCCCCACCATCCCCCGAAGCCATGCCTCGCGTGTACGTGGGGAGACTGAGTTACCAGGTCCGAGAGCGGGACCTGGAGCGCTTCTTCAGGGGTTACGGCAAACTGCTGGAGGTGGACCTGAAGAACGGGTGAGAAGACGGGAACCGCGGGAGAGCGAGAGAAGGAGGAGGAGGAGGGGGGGCGCTTGACCACCCTTAACCCCCCCCCCCCCTCCTCCCGCTCCTGTCCCCCCCATCTCCATGCGCCCACATTTACCTCATGTCTGTCTGGCGCTGACGGTGTTGTTGTTGTTGTTGTGGTGAGGGAGAGATTGTGTGTATGTGTGTAGAGAGAGAGAGAGAGAGAGGCTGAGGAGTGAGGAGGGGGCCTGGCCTGGCAGGGGGTGCGCGGCCCGGCCTGGCAGGGGGTGCGCGGCCTGGCCTGGCCTGGCAGGGGGTGCGCGGCCTGGCAGGGGGTGCCTGGCCTGGCCTGGCAGGGGGTGCCTGGCCTGGCCTGGCAGGGGGTGCCTGGCCTGGCCTGGCAGGGGGTGCCTGGCCTGGCAGGGGGTGCGCGGCCTGGCAGGGGGTGCCTGGCCTGGCCTGGCAGGGGGTGCCTGGCCTGGCAGGGGGTGCCTGGCCTGGCCTGGCCTGGCAGGGGGTGCCTGGCCTGGCAGGGGGTGCGCGGCCTGGCCTGGCCTGGCAGGGGGTGCGCGGCCTGGCCTGGCAGGGGGTGCGCGGCCCGGCCCGGCCTGGTGGCCGCCGCGTGTTTGCGCGGCCCCGCATGTGTGCCGTGGTGTGTGGGTGAGGAGAGGTAAAATGGCGGCCTGTGTGTGCTGTGCTGTGCCGCCGCCTTCGCTTCTTTATGTGTGTGTGTGTGAGAGAGAGAGAGAGAGAGGGGTTCACGGCTCGGAGTGTGGGGAGTGGAGGGAGGGAGGGAGGTGTGTGTGTGTGTGGGGGGGAGACACACAGGGGGAATGGTTCTTCTTTCTCAGCACATTTTGCTGCTCGAGCTCTCTCCCCCCTCCCACACACACACACACACACACATTCAGTTCTGCCCTTGTATTTGTGTGTGTGTGTGTGTAAAAAATAATAAATATGCATCTTGTAGTTTTTATTTTGGGGTGTTGTTGGGGGGTGGGGGGGGGCTGAGGTTTTTGAAGGTTTTTTTTTGTCAGGGAACCATTTTTTATTCTCTCTCCTCTTTTCACCACCATCGACCCTCAGAATCCTATCCCCAGAGTGCATTGTTCTCTCCAACTATCTCTCTCTGTCTCTCTCTCTTTCCTCCCTCCCCCCACCCCCTTCCTTCGCTCCTCTATGTCTATTTTCTTGCAATAATAAATATAATGGAACAATTATGCTCGTCGTCGTCCCCCCTCGCATTCGCGAGACACGTTTGTACTCGACCAGGAGCAAGGCTTTAGCTGGACTGATGCGTCTTTTCTGGGGTAACAGCTTTGCGAAACGGGGGCAACTGTTTTTTTTTTTGCCTTTTAAGAGTGGTTTGTTTCCACGTGGGTCTTTGTTTTTTTTTACACAGTGTAACAAAGGACTTGATATTTTGTCGGGGAACTTCATCCAGATCTTGGTGACGAAGTATTCAGTCCGCGAGCTGCTCATTTGGGTTATCATACGTAACCTGCCTAGTTTTTGGGGTTCACATTCGCATTTAATATAACTGTAAAATTTTCATTTAATATGATATATTTGAAACAATCACTGGGTTGAAAGAGCGCTGAAGTATCTACATTCAGAGCTGGAATCATTCAATTGTCAGTTACTTTGTTTGAAACTCAGTTTTGTTATCTACACTATTGTTTAATGGATCTTCGCTTGATATATATAAATATATTTAAGAAATCCATTGCAATTTGATCTCCCTGTGTTTGGCGCTGCCTCTGCCAGAAAGATCAATTTGAAATTCACACGAGACATAAGAACATATGAATTGCTAGACGAAAGAAGACCAAGCTTCATCCAGTTTGCCTTCCACCATCCTGGTATCATGCATTTCATGTCCCAAACTGTATACTGTATCTCAAGATATGATTTCCTAAAATAACTTGTTTTATCTCATTTACTTTTGAAAATAAATATCAGGCATAAAAGCAAAATATTGCAGATGCTGGAAGTCTAAAATAAAAGCAGAAGTCGCTGGGAACGTGCAGCAGGTCAGATAGCATCTATGGAGAGAGAAAAATAAATTAACGTTTCAGGTCTATGACATTTTGTCAGAACAGTGTTCTGATGAAAGTTCATAGACCTGAAACGTAAACTCATTTTCCTCTCCATAGATGCTATCTGACCTGCTGCGTGTTCACAGTGACTTCTGTTTTTATAATAGACGAATAGAATTGGGCTTTGTAAATTTGTACCCAATTTTGTTTCCATTTTCAATATCTCATTTCTTGGATACAAGATGTATTTGCAAATTTGGCCCAATACCAATGCTAACTTAAATGCAACTTTTAAAGGTATGGATTTGTTGAGTTTGAAGACTCGCGTGATGCTGACGATGCTGTTTATGAACTTAACGGGAAAGAACTTTGTGGGGAGCGTGTGATAGTTGAACACGCAAGAGGACCACGCCGCGATGGAAGCTATGGTGGCGGAGGTGGTTATGGGAGTGGTCGCAGTGAGTTGTTTTAATAGTTTATTCAAATAATTTGATTTTAATTTGACTTTTTATTGCTTTTAAATTTTTTTAAAAAGGTGTTTTTACTGTTTGAATTGTATAAATGTCAAAGTGTTCATCCAAACCTTGTTAACAAGACCTTGATCTTTTAATTGAAAGAGTCCAATGAGGCTAAGATGTCTGCCTGTTTCGATTGGCCTTGGCTTTACAATGTGTGGCCTTTGGCGTTTGGCTGACCTAATGGAAGCCATGACGACAGCTACCTTTGCCATTAGACCTGGGTGATGAGGATGCCAAGGGTTAGACATGTCTGGTTAATCTGAACTAGGTGCCTGTTACCTTATGTGTCTTGTACCAAACTTCTAAAATCTGCTAGAATGTAAGTACATAATGTAACATTTAGTTTTAATATTTAGAAATATGAGCAGATGTGCATGTCAATGTAGTAATAAATAGAACATTTGCGTTAAATTGTTTTAACTTAAAACAAAAAAATTCGGTTCTGAATCATTTAAATTGAATTGCTCAGAATATTGTAAATTTGCCATGAGTTGATGAGTTACTGGCTTTTTTGTTAAATCTCCAAAGGCGGTTATGGATACCGTAGGTCTGGAAGAGAAAAATATGGGCCACCTGTGCGCACAGAGTTCCGATTGATTGTTGAAAATCTTTCAAGTCGTTGCAGCTGGCAAGATCTGAAAGTAGGTATTTGTTTAAAATATGTTAATGGGAGTTTTAAGTAAGCCTTTGAATTGCTTGAGTTTGGTAATTTATTGGCATATTTTATTTTTAAGGATTTCATGAGACAAGCGGGTGAAGTAACGTATGCAGATGCTCACAAACAGCATATGAACGAAGGGGTCATTGAGTTCAGGTCATACTCTGATATGAAGAGGGCCTTGGACAAGCTGGATGGCAGTGAAATCAATGGGAGGAAGATTCGATTGGTGGAAGACCGACCACGCAACAGCAGACGTTCTTCATCTGGAAGTCGATCACGGTGAGAGCTCATTTATATGAAGCCTTTCTGTATGACTAATTCCTGGTGAATTCAAATTATTTGCTAAGAAATAAATTGTAATTGGGTGAGTTTCTGTAGAATGTAGATAGACCTGTAGATGTTGTTTCTCTTCTTGATCTCTAAATCTGCCATTTGTAGTTTTCTGTATTTTTTTAATTAAAAAGTATTTCAATCATTCCTTCTGAACAAGAAGATTTTCGAAGTAATGAAGCTAATAACATGTTACTTTGACATTATGTATTGAGACTAAAAAAACAATGAAACAAGTCAGCTGCTAAGTGCTCATTGACACTGAGTGTCCAGACCATTAGAGGCGAGAGACTTCCTGTTGCACAACATTCATGCACATTTCCAGAAGGTGTTTATGAATAATGATTGAGATGATGACGTGGGAATACGAAGACCAATTATGGTACCCTCATACCCCCAATGGAGATTGGGTAGCAAGTCTCTGTACCTCACCATACAGCGTATCAATTCACTGAGCCATTACGATGCCTCAATTATAGTTCAATATTGGGAAGTATGCATTTCTTTGTATTAGAGAGTATAAGAGTATAACTTCCTCCACCCTACCAATATGCATAATTATGAGGTTTTAAATACAGTAAATATTAACATAGCAAAATTTCCTTTTTTTAATTTCATTTATAAAATGTTGGGAGATGTGGAGTGAGGTGGAAATGAGATCAATGAATGTGTTAAATGATGTCTCAACTTAATTGACAGATCCCGGTCTCGAAGCCGTCGTCATTCTCGTAGTAGAAGTCGAAGAAGCAGCAGAAGCCGATCTGGCAGTGGCTCTAAGAGCAGATCTCGTTCTCGGTAAGAAATTTTAAGCAACGGTTTTGTATTTGTGGCCTTGGGGAAAGCACACGCATCTGGCATGTTGGTTCTAACGTTATACAGTGAAATTGCACAAAAATGAAACTGCAATTTGATTCTAATCCTTTTTATGGCCGTCTTTGAGGATAGATAAATTCAACAGCAGCTTATTGCTGAAGGTGATCTGTTGCATTTGCAAATTTATGCATGATCTCGAAACAGCCAGTGAGTGATGCGATTGGTATATAATAATATCCAGTAAAGAGGAGCATGAAAGGAACTGCTGTTGTGTATTGGACTTGAAAGAAATTTAAATGCTCCTAATAATGCAACCACGAGTATAATTGTCATTCTGGTATGTATTTTTGGGTCCACTTGGGTATCATTTGTTGTGATGACCTTTTATGCTATGGAAGTGATGTGACATTGCTGTCAGTGGTAGAACATTTTGGATCAGAAAATATTTCCTTCTCTTGATGAGGACTGAGAAGAGTCCTGTCCTGTTTAGGCACTTAGATGGTGAACGCATAGAACTCTACTCACTGACCCTGGTTTATTTTAAATGGTAAAAAGCTGGTTGCTTGAGCAGCTCTCTGGTGACTGAAACCTTGAAGGGTTGTCTTAAACTTTTCGACCTCAAATCTACTAAGTTTAAAGATTTGTTTGGAATGGGCTACAATAAAATTGGGGAGTCATGACGCAACTGATGCAACTGAGTTGTTTCCAAAACCTTCTAGTGGTGGCTTTGGGAGCAGAATTCAAAAATCCAATTGATGCACCGATAACCTGAGGTAAAGATCTAAACCTTAATTCCAATTGGCTAAAAACCAATACCAGAGGCTTGTTTTCCAGCTAATCTGGAGGCCGAACGTTAATTGGACCCACTTACATCACTGGAGCAACCAGGTCAAAATTTGACATCTTTTGGGTCGTCCCTCACAGGTGCGAAGCGCCTGACGAGAACTCGGTGCGTCCAATTCTCTGGACTACTGACAAATCAGCGGCAGGCCAAAGGTAAATGTTTATGAACAGCACAATTGTATTCACATTTACCACATCTATAGCGTTTGAATAATATTTGCATTATGAAGTTACTGCTTTTAAAGTGTGCTTATTTTTCAAAGAATCATAGAATATTACAGAACAGAAGGAGGCCATTCGGCCCATCGTGCCTGTGCTGGCTCTGTGGAAGAGCTACCCAATCAATCCCACTCTTTCCCCATATCCTTGCATGTTTTTCCTTTTTTTTCTATCCAATTTTTTTTCCTATCCAATTCTCTTTTGAAAGCTGTTATTGAATCTGCTTCCACCACCCAGATAACACAAAACTTTAAAATTTTGCTCTCTATACCCAAATCCAAGTCATTTATGAATATCAAAAAGAACAGCAGGTCTAATACCAACCCCTGGGGGACACCACTCCATATTTCTCTCCAGTCTGAAAAGCAACCATTCACCACTACCCTCTGCTTTCTGCCTCCCAGCAAATTTTGTATCCAAGCTGTCACTATCCCTTTTATCCCATGGGCTTCAATTTGCTAACCAGCCTATTATGTGGCACCTTATCAAAAGCTTTCTGTCCATATACGCTACGTCAACTGCACTACCTTCATCAATCATCTCTGTTATTTCATCAAAGAAATCTAGTTTTGTCAGACACTATTTGCCTTCAACAAATCCATGTTGATTGTCATTAATTAACTTGTGTTTTTCCAAGTGAAATATTATTTGGTCCCGGCTTATAAAAATAAGAATAATCCTTGCATTTATCTCGTCTTCAAGATGTCTCAAAGAGCTTCACAGAATACTGTATGATGAGTTGATTTTGTATTTTGTGGGCGAAATGCCTGACGGGAACTCGGTGCATCCAATAGTCTGGACTACTGACGAACTGGTGGCAGTCTGCAGACGTTTCCCACCACCGACGTTAGGCTGACTGGCCTGTAGTTACTAGATCTATCCCTCTCCCCTTTTTTGAACCAACAACATTAGCAACCCTCCAATCCTCAGGCACTACTCCCATATCCAAGGAGGATTGAAAGATTGTGGCCAGAGCCTCCACTATTTCCACCCTAACTTCCCTTAGGATGCATCCCATCCGGGCCGGGTGACTTTTCTACTTTGAGTGCTGCTAACCTTTTTCATATCTCCTCTATTTTTATCCTATCCAATTTCTCTACCCCCTCCGCCTTTACTGTGATATTGGCAGCATCCTCTTTTGTGAAGGGTGGGGATAGCTCATCTAACCTACTTACCAAGCTTCATTTATACACATGGTCAAGTTTTATTTACATCACTAGGAAATGTATGCACGTTTTATTATTTTGGGGGAGGAGGTTGTGTGGATGCCCCAAACTGTTTTTTCTGGTGTCTTTTGCTGGGAACTTATCCATCAGCCAACTTGGTGGCGATTAAAGATCAGTTTTGTGAGCTTTTGATGAGGCAGGGTATCATTGGTGGCATTACTGAGTTGCACGGAAATGATCAAATTGAGCTGCCACAGATAAATGCATTGTTTTATGATGCATTGTATTTTTTCTTCTGTTATGCAAAGTGGTTGAGGAGTTTCAAGCTCCATTGACCTGAGGTTTCCTAACTGGGTTGTTTTATTGGAGTAATTGATCTTGGAATGAAATCTGTATACCAGATTAAATGTACAGTATATTTTCACATAATTGTCTTATGAAGGTCGTTGGGCAAAATGGTTTGTGATGATTTCATGCAAAGCAATTTTTCATTTTCATTTCCAGTTCTAAATCCAGATCACGAAGCAAGGATCATTCTCGGTCCAAATCGAAATCTCAAGAAAGGAAATCCAGATCGAGAAGCATTTCCAAAGCAAAATCTGATAAACGCTCTCGCTCCAGGTCTCCAAGCCGATCTAAATCTGCATTAAACAACAAATCACACAGCAGATCTCCTTCCCCCAAAGTGAATGGGAAGGGAGATGCTAAATCGGTGTCACGTTCACGTTCAAAATCCCGCTCCAGGTCAAGAAACAAGTCTACTTCTCCAGTGAAAACAAAGCCAAAATCAGAAAATCGTTCTAGGTCTCGATCTAGATCTGTGTCCAGGTCAAGATCTCGTTCTAAGGATTAGTATCAACTTTTTGTAATGAACACTGAATTCCAGTTGGATGTTTCTCTAAGCTAGCTGTATATGTAAATGCACCATTGATGAGGACTCCAACATTTTCAAAATTGGAGTTTTGTTTCTTTCTAGTGTAGAGTACAGTGTAGGGATGCTCAACTGTATATAAACTTTCAAATTACCAAGTCCTATCAAGCAATAAGCAGTGCAAGTGGTAGCACTGATGCTTTCCCCATGAATATTGATCACCATTTCACAACATAAGGTACTACTTGGCAGTGTGTTCAATTTGGATTTTGTTTTCCTATTTTATTACTGGAGTAGCTGCAGCACAGATGTGTATTATGAGCTGTCACCGAACATCTAAATACTTTTTATTTTAGTGCCAGAAGTGTACATTTTTAAACTACAAGTGAGAATATTGTTGAACTTGTAATTGGAAATTCAAATAAAATAACTGCTTCCTGGCATGACTTTGTAGGCGGTAGCCTCAGAGGTAATTGATTGGGGAGCGTGAGAGTATAATGAACCCCAGAACATCAGTAAACAACAACTTGTATTTCCATTGCGCCCTTCACACGGGTAGTAAAACCAAGGAGAACTTCATGCAAGACCCTCCTGTTTACTATGAAAAGTAATCTATGGTAATCTATTTAGGTTATTGATTTCTTGCAAACCAGCATTTACATGCATTTTACATCTGGAACATTCAAAATATGCATGGTTTCATTAAAACTATACAGCATTTTTATTGTTGGATGTTTTGTATTTTTTTGTGGACCTTCCCTCATTGAGTCTTAATGTTTAATAAATACACCACTGGATAAAGCATATATTGGATACAGTTACCATCTTTTAAAAATTCTTGGAATTTCAAAATGGTTCATTGTGTGAACTCGAACATAAGCTTAGTTAAGTCTGTGCAAGCCAACTACTCGGCCAATTCTATAGTAAAGAGCTCTAGTGGTGTAATGATAGTATTCCTAACATCTTTTGAGCCTATACATAAATTGTAACGTTAGTAAATCAGTCTTTCAATGAGCACCCACAGAACATATTCTTTCTTAAGTAATTGTTCGTTCATCTACGTTCTCAACTAAAACTGTCCATTGCTGCAATCAACGCAGGAGTTTTTTTTTGCAACGTTGTTGACTTTCATTGGCAGTATTTTCCAGCAACTATTGATGTACAGCATTCAGACAAACTCCAAAGGGCTGGCACCACTCTTGTACTGGTTTCAATGTACATGTGCTTGTACACATGTATGCCTTTCTCAGGCCATTGTAAAAGATAAAGTGAATTCAAACCAATGAGCATAATTTTTCTGCCATGAAATGTAAGTGGGAAGGACCTGGGCTTTTGGGGCAATGTTGCTCACTGCTTTTTGAAGTGGTAAAATGCTAAATATCGAACCCATGATACATAAACCCATTACATAATACAAAACCCAGATGAGTGTTAGTATGGCATCATTGTGCAGTACTATCTTGCCATCTGTTTTGATGTTGCACAGTCTTTGGCGATATTCAGCAATGTTTGGTATGTATGGTATTTAAGTCTGGATCAGATACCTAGCAAAAACCATTGTTCCAAAAGGATCAGGATGAAAATCTGGTTAGAAATGTTGCTAAAGGTGACGGATAAAATAATAAAAATAATCCTTGCATTTGATACAGCGCTTTTCACATCTTCGAGACGTCTCAAAGCGCTTCATAGAATATACTATAAAGTGAATTGAATATATTTGTGGGCGAGACGTGGCAGCCAATTGCACAACAACAACAAAATTACATTTGCAAAGCGACTTTCACGTCAGAAGGATGTCCCAAGGCGCTGGACAGACGAGTTTCGGACCCGAGCTGGGGGTTGGAATCGGGGAGGTTAGAGGGTGGGGGGGGAGAAGCAGGGAGATTGAAAGCACTGTCAAAGAGGAGGGTCTTGAGATGGATCTGGAAGGTGGCGAGGGAGGGGGCAAGGTGGAGGAACTGCGGGATGGAGTTCCAGAGGGGGCAGAGTGGTAGAAGGCCCGCCCACCAAAAGTGGGGCAAGCAAGGCGGTGGCTGTGAAGCAGGCTGGAGCCCGCTGAGCAGAGGGAGTGAACAGGATGGTAGGGAGTTAGGAGGTCACAGAGGTAAGGGGGAAGCAAGACAGCAGTGTCCCAGTGATGAGCGCAAACGAGGAATCGTATGCACCATAGAATGTACTTTGACCAAGAAAATTCACCTGGAAACCAACCCAATCACTGATGAATGAGTTCATTGCCTGGAAGGAGGAGAGTTGAAAAAACATCTTTCAATGCTTTTTTAATGTGTTTCTCTATAAAACGTTAGTTTTCAAAATATGAATTCCTGCATTTTGAAATTCAAATTATAGCAAACAAAAGTGGAGTTTTGATCCACATGAAGACTGACCGTGCTGCCCTTTTGCCATTAAACAATGCCAATGTTTATCAGGGATTCATCAAACATAAATATAAGTTTCTAGCTAGAAACTCATAGTTGAATTTTGTTTCAAAAGTGACTTCTTATACAAACTTGCACGTTTTGTGCAACATCCTAACATTTTGCATGTTTTCACCAAACGTAAGTGGGTTTTTTTTTTCAACTTTTTAAACAAAAAGAACAACTTTTAACACTTCAATCGAAAACATCAATGAAATTGGACCAGCCTGAAATATTACCACCAGAAGGTGGTTTCATTGAGGGCAGGATTGTCGAAAGGGGAAAGTCTCCCAAATTGATTCCCAAATTTCAGGATAATGAATATAATCGTATTCCTCCTGTATGTTGGTAACCTTGAGTAGAAGCAGAAGTCGTTGGGAGAGAGGAAAGCGAGTTAATTGTTCAGGTCGACCTTTCGGAACTGGGGGTTGTTGGAAGGGAGCAATCTTTGGGTTCGGTGGCTAAGATGGGTCCAGAATGCCCAATTTCTATTCATCCGCAGTATATAGAATTCCAGTCCCAACAGCCTGGACTGCACGGCCAGGTCAGTGTCCAAACTCACTGGGGTTATGCTCAGTGGCATCTCCATCCTATGTTAAAAGTTAACCAGAAGGGTGGATTCCACAATGGTCCCAGTGATCAAATTCAGAAGCATTGATAACAGCTTCACAGTGATTCAATACTTTTTTTAAAAAAAAATCACACACACACACACACACACACACACACATGATGCACAGATGGAGACTGATGGAGAGGTTTACGTTGCACCAGTTTCTCTAAAGCTTTAAGCAAAGCTGCCTCGAGCAATAGGAAGGACAATTCGGGATTTGCAGACAAATAAAGGGTAAGTTCTTCCTTGTGCTCTGTGTGTGTGTGTGTATATATATATATATATATATGGAGTATCTGCAGAGTGGGAGTGTGCCCACAAACAGTGCCCATGCGCAAAACCAGTGGCTCACAGCCCCACTGGCCAAGACGTGATGAGCGTTGCACTGGGGTAGGTACAAAAAAATAAATAAATGTGGATTTCGGGAACTGTCTTTGATTTATTTTTGAAAAAGGAAAAAAAAAAAATCAAAAAATCGAGACCAAACACCGGTCGGAGAGGAGAAACCTAACGTTGCAAGTCAATCAGTAAAGAGCTTCCTTGTGGTCCATCAGGGAGGGAGGGAGGGAGGGAGGGAGGGAGGGAGGGAGGGAGGGAGGGAGGGAGGGAGGGAGGGAGGGAGGGAGGGAGGGAGGGAGGGAGGGAGGGAGGGAGGGAGGGAGGGAGGGAGGGAGGGAGGGAGGGAGGGAGGGAGGGAGGGAGGGAGGGAGGGAGGGAGGGAGGGAGGGAGGGAGGGAGGGAGGGAGGGAGGGAGGGAGGGAGGGAGGGAGGGAGGGAGGGAGGGAGGGAGGGAGGGAGGGAGGGAGGGAGGGAGGGAGGGAGGGAGGGAGGGAGGGAGGGAGGGAGGGAGGGAGGGAGGGAGGGAGGGAGGGAGGGAGGGAGGGAGGGAGGGAGGGAGGGAGGGAGGGAGGGAGGGAGGGAGGGAGGGAGGGAGGGAGGGAGGGAGGGAGGGAGGGAGGGAGGGAGGGAGGGAGGGAGGGAGGGAGGGAGGGAGGGAGGGAGGGAGGGAGGGAGGGAGGGAGGGAGGGAGGGAGGGAGGGAGGGAGGGAGGGAGGGAGGGAGGGAGGGAGGGAGGGAGGGAGGGAGGGAGGGAGGGAGGGAGGGAGGGAGGGGTTGTGTTTGCTGTGCGCATCACTCTGACTGTCACCTTCTTCACTGCGCTTCTATTTCCCATTCGGGTAACGAAGGCACTACTGGAGCATCACAGCAGCAAAACCCAGTCTCTGCCAATCTCCTAAAACATTTGGCTTTTCTGGAGGGGAGGGGAGGGGAGAGGGGGTTTCTTGTCTTAAAACAATCTTTGCAACTTTTTTTCTCTTGGGGGGGGGGGAGGTGGGGCAGGGAAATTAAAGGGGTTTAAATGGGGGGGGTTGACAAGACAGTGAGGATGGCATCTGTCACTTGCATTTCTGTCTGGAGAGTTCAGCTGTAATCCCATTAAATTAAAGACATCTTTTTTTTTTATCCCACGTAATGTTACTGTAGCTGTTGTTGGTACCCAGCTCGGCCATTTTGGTAAGAAATGATGGCACTGACAGCCCTTATTGCGGTTTATTATTTAGGATTTATTTATATTTCGTTTTTCCTATCAAAAACGAAGGTCAGTTTCACCAGACAGATAAATAACTAAATAGGTTCCCTATTTTTTTTAATGGAGAGCAAATGTTTTAACAAGACATGGAATGTCAGTCAGGTAAGCACAAGTCAACGATGGCCTGAAACATTTATAATAATCATCTTAATAATAATATTAATGATAATAATGCAATTGATTTTTTGACATTGTCTGATTATAATCAAACGATGAAATACCGTTGTTTTCTGAACGATGAGCTTTTGTTGTTATGGGAATTGATCAGATTGAGAGGGGGAAAAAAATGCTCAGCTGTATCTATGCATTTAAATGTTAGATTTTTTTTTCTTTTTTTTAAAAAAAAAAGGGGTTTGGGCAGATTTTTTTTTGAAATGCACATTTTGAAATGGATGCGCTTGTTTTGATTTAATTTGCAAATTGGTGGTTTTTGTGCTGCTTTGTGAAGCCCCAGTTCACAGTAGAATGAATGAATAAATGAATGAAAACCTGAGTGTTATAAGCAGGAACACAACTAGAGCCGAACAGACACACATCACTGAAATGCTGAGATTATTCACATGCATTTGATTTTGTTTTTATCAATGGAGCATTTTAAAGGCCATCATATACGATGTCACCTTGAATGTAAAATATTCTCAACAACATTCTTCAATTTTCTGCAGTGAACCAACCACTTGGTTTAGATTTAATACAATGTAGGAAATGTGTCTTTAGTGGAAAGCAAAGGCGACGGAAATAAATAAAGCCATGTCTGTTTATGTTTGTGCTCTAATTGGACTGCTAAAGTCCACCTCAGATTAATTCTAGAACACCCATCTATGTAGCGGTGGTAGTTAAAGGCACCCACTGAAGTTTAGTTTAACTCTAATTCCAATTGTAGCTTGTTTGTGAGACGCTGCTGGGCACAATTGGTTGCTGCGTTTCCCCCACACAATATACAGTCAATTCACTTTACAGTATATTCTGTGAAGCGCTTTGAGATGCTTCGAAGATGCAATAAGACGCAATATCAAATGCAAGGATTATTATTCTTGTTCTTGTCCTTTAAGGTGGGGAGTGGGGGTTAGCAGAGGAGAGTATTCCCCACTCAGTGGGGTTTACTCTTGGGCAGATTAATGTTTTTTTATACTTATTACATTGTACAATTAAAATAAACAACCCTAATTTGAATTTATTGATTTCTCTTCTTCCCACTCCAAAAAAACTCTGTGCTGAATCACACCGATTTCCAGCACTACCTGTGGAGAGCACATTGGTGTGATGGATGGACCATCAGAACTCTTCAGGAAGAATGATTTGTTAAGGGTTGAAGAAGTAACCTGCTCTTCGCTCCGCTTCACGTGAAGAACCTGGGACAATCCCGTGACGGAGAAAATCATACCTTTGCACTTTTCCAGCCTTGCCCGAGGGGAGGATCTTGAAAAGAAAGGTGGTTCAAAAAACAAGACACAAGCTATCTATCTGCACTAATTGCAGAGCGGGACTGGAAGTACTGATGGCCAACACGGGAGCTTCTCCCAATGAAGTCAGTCTCCAGGTGGTAACCAGCCACAGCTCTGCTCCGAATACTCACTTAGCTGCAAAAGCTTTCATTATTCCAGGTACTGTACTTATAATAATAATAATAATAATAACTATATTGTAGTATTGGCAAGTAGAGTCCTGTAGTTCACTGGTTAGAGCACCTGCCTCGCAAACCAGAGACTTGAGTTTGATTCCTGACAGGGTGAAATGCAAGGATTATTATAATCCTTTCAATTGATAATAGCGCCTTATCACGTCTTCGAGACGTCTCAAAGCACTTTACAGAATATACTAAAGTGAATTGACTGAGTATTTTGTGGGCGAAACGCGGCAGCCAATTGCGCACAGCAGTGTCCCACAAACATGGTTTGAGTGACCAATTTATTATTATTTATTATTTAAAATTTCACCTTGCGTTAGGCGATAGATTATTTTGCTTCACATTTTTAAGACTGCACAGAATTGTCGAAATTCTTAAACTATTAACTTGGAAGCTTTTTTTTTAGGAACTGCGGGGAGGGGATGGGGGCTGATTCTGAATTAAGATTGAGTTTAAGAATCAGCTTTCTATCAAATTATATCAGACCATTTAATATATCCTCATTCTATGGGAATTTGCCTCTCATTGACAAGAAGTCTCTCAGTGATAAGAAAATAACATTTCTCTCTCATTGCAATGTATTCTGTGAAGCACTTTTAGACATCTCAAGGACATGATAAGGGGCTATATCAAATGCAACGATTATTGATTTATTGATTGATAAGAAATAGCACAGCTGGGATGAATAGAACTCTCAGTTCGATTTGGATACTTTTCAGCATAGAATGGATTTTCACATAATAATAATAATAATCCTTGCATTTGATATAGCGCTTTTCACGTCTTCGAGACGTCTCAAAGCGCTTCACGAAATATACTGTAAAGTGAATTGACTGTATATTTGTGGGCAAAACACGGCAGCTAATTGCGCACAGCAGTGTCCCACAAACAGTCGTGGATTGAAGTGACCAATTTATTATTGTTTGTTTTCTTTTACTTGAGGGATTATTATCAGGTGTGTGGAGTAAGGAAACTTGCCCAAGGTTTCATGCTGCCGGGAATCGAACCCAGGTCTCTCGCTTGTGAGGCGAGTGCGACCAAAAAAAAAGACCGTTTGAAAGGATCTTATTTCTGGTTTCGCCCAGTTGAAACTTAACAGTTTCATAAGACCATAAGAAAACATCTGCCAAGAAGCAGTGACTGGCTTACCTTTAAGAAATTGTGCATGAACTCACCTCTGCCTTCCAGCTGTGTATGAAATATTTCTTAAATATTCACTGTATCAAGATGACGCTCCCATATTGTAACACCAAAGATTAATGTTATTGCAGTTACTGCAGTTTTCAGGTGATGAACTAATGCGTGGGCTATGGCCAGGAGGCAAAATGTCTGGTGTACTTGTACCAGCAAACTTTTGCTTATGTTTCATAGCGAATATAAATCCAATTAATCCATCGGAGACTGACCCGGATCCACAAACCGTACCTCGGGAAACCCATGTCGTCTCTTTACCGATCAAAGTGGAGCAGTCAGAAAGCACCGTCCCAATGACGGCGACTGTCAACCCACAGATCAGTGGGTTGCACCGCTGTGACATGCTCAGTATTCTGGAATGGAAGGATGGGAGAGCTACCTTACCTGGCAGCAATTTAAAGGTCAGCACTATCGATGGTTATCCTGAAGCAGTCTCCATTCTTATGTTGTGACGAAGGGTCGTGGACCCGAAATGTTGACTCAGTTTCCTTTCTCCATAGATGCTGCCTGACCTGCTGAGTGTTCCCAGCGACTTCTGTTTCTGTTCCATTCTTATGATCCACTTAAGTCTCCATTCCGAAGGGCTCTAAATAATTGCAAGTTGTTGTTCTTGTGAATCTTTTTGTTGAATCAGCATTATACAGGGCACCCCCCCCCCCCTCCCAATGTAACATGGTCAACTGGGTCCAATATCTCAAGAGGCCTCACTATACATGAATAGTGAAAAAATGGCTACGTTTTGGATCATCAGATCGCCACAGGGACTTTGAGCTCAGAGTCTTAGGCTGTCACTCTAATACACTCAACTGCTGAGGTTTGCTCTACATTGTAAGAGGTGCCGTTCCTTCGGTTGAGACATTAAACCGAGGTCCCGTCTGCCCGTTCAGGTGTATGTCAAAGTCCCCGTGGTGCTTCTCAAAGGGAAGGTGTTAGTCCATGTCTACCGTTGGTATTAAACATCACTTCCAGATCAACAGATGAACATCAGCTTCGATGTGCCAAATGTTTATTGGAAATTGACTGCAGCTATTTTTAATGGTTAATATAATTAATTAAGCTGTTTTGTTTGCTGGTTGAACCCCGCTGGTTTATAAATGTGTTCACAAGGATGGTTTGTTCACATTTTGGCTGCAGATAATGTAGCGCAGAGCTTTGCATCTATAACATTTGTTAGGCTTGACACAGGAAATATTTTATTTACAACGCCATCAGTGAATGTGTTTATTTTCTCCGCAAGGCCACAAAGACATTACTAATCGCATAAACTAATGCTTTTGAGCATAAAGTTAATACGAAATTTAAACACATTAGAACTCAATTTGGGTGCTTTTATTTGTTTATTTCTTGTGCAGCCTGTCACTCTGGTGTTAGCGAGAAAGTGGGGCAGTTGCAATGAGAACAGTCTGTCTAGTCCAAGTGAATTGCTCTCCCGTTTCTCCCTTGGAATTAATTAAACCAGGAAAGTGGATTGAGCTCATTGCAGTGTATGATTTTTGATAAGCTCTGCAATGGTGGTAACAAACATAGTGATTGTTTAGTTGATTACTATTATGATCTCCCCATATTAAGGGAATGATTGTTGAAGGGAATTGAAGTGAAGTAAGATTACTGCATTTTTAATTCATGTTTATGTAATTGAGTGCTATTTGGAATTGAGGTACACATCAGCCATGATCTAATCGAATGGTGGATCAGGCTCGAGGGGCTGAATGGCCGACTTCTGTTCCTATGTTCCTACTTGTTGCAGATTCGTGGCCCCCGTTATATATCTTTTTGCGTACTTCTGCTGTGCTCTATGGGATAATCCGCTTGTTTCTCCCCCCCCCACCCCACCCCACGCAGTTCAGAGTGAATGAGTTTGGTTCCCTGGAGGTTGCAAACACAGAGGTGATGCCTGGGGTACGTGGGACAGAGGTCGCTGTGGAAACCAGTGTGGAGACGGAGGAGAGCGATGCTTGGGATCAGACTGGCTGGAATACAGCCAGTGGTTGTGAAAGTAAGACACATCTAATGGGATGTATTAAAATATATATCAGGTTATTCTGTTCATGCTTTTGGCCCAAGATAAATTTAGCGGTGGTGCAAAATATACTATTGAATCAGAGTGAGTTGATTTCTTTGTGACACTTTAAACATATTGGGGGATTATACAACACAAAAATTATAATACAAAATTCTGGATTGGGCAGGGTGGACGGCAGGGAGGGTAGGAGGGTGAAGTCAAAGAGGAGGGTAGAGCGGGAAGGGCAGAGCGGGTCATAGCATGGATGTGGGGTAGAAAGGACATTTGAGGGACAAACAATGTTCTGGACTGTCTCAGTGAGTGTGCATCCCTGGATGGTGATGCTGTCAGTGCCTGAGGTGTGGAGGCGCTGACGGGAGCCTTGTTGACATTCAACTGAAGAAAGTTAGCTCTCATCCAGGACTCGATGTCTGACAGACATTCTGTCTACACTACAAATGAGAGTATACTACAGATGAGGATTTTCACCTGGTTACATAGAATTACATTGATTGATACGGTACGGACATTTGCCCCAAATAGTCTATACAAGTGTTAATACCGCACACCAAGCCTTTACACCTCCTATACTATACTTTTCCCCTTCACATGCGCATCAAGTTTCCTCTTAAATATGTTGATGGCTTTTGCTACAGCCACAGTTCCTGTCACAGAGTTCCACATTCTCACCACCCTCTGTATCAAGACGTTTTTCCAGAACTCTGTTTTACTTCAATGACTAGCTTTCCAATGTTTGAGTTCCCCCCCCCCCTCACTGTTTTGAACTCACTAACAAGTGGAAACAACCTGTCAGTGTCTGACTTATTGAATTCTCTCCTAATCTTAAATAGCTCTCAATTGTCTCAACTTCAGAGAGTACGGCTGCAAACTGCCCAGTCATTCCTGGTAGTATCTGATTCCATTTATCCCTGGTAACATCAGTTTAAATCTATGGCTAATCTGCTTCCAGACTCAGACTATATTCTTAATTTCAGGGGTTTGCAAATTTTTTGAAAATTCTGAGATTCATTCCTCATTTTGAAGCTGGTGTTTCACAGTTTTTTTTCCCCCCCAAGTACTTCAGGATTCGAGAGGAAACATCTAGCGGCGCTAGTGACTGATACACAGCTCCATGTCTCCATCCTGTGGTTTATCTCCCAAAATCCATCTTAATCTCTAAATTTAAAAAAAATGTAAATGGATTCAGAGAAAATTATTGATTGGAGTGAATAGAAATTTTGTAAAATACATTAAGCATTTAGGCCTTGTATCTACTATATAAGTGTCCTTCAGCAGCACAAATTTGTCCAGCAAAGCACCGTGTGTTCCCTTTTGTTGTCCATGGCCTGTTCTTTCTGTACTCCCATCAAGAAAATGTTTCACGAGAAGTTTATAGGCCAATAAATAGGTTTGCATCTTGTAAACTCGCTCCGTATCCAGATCATTTTTCTAATTGATCTTCTGTCAGTAAATTGGATGACACCCAAAATACATTTTTAATTTAACATAATTTCAGAATGCACTGATTTTATTTTTATATAAATATGAGTTGGTACTAAATTTTCAATGCTATTTCAGTTTCGGTTTAATGCATTTTGAATTCCAGGAAATAATAACAGTGTTAATTCTTCATGCATTCATGTATGTGTGTGTGTTTATTTGTGTGTGTACACAACATACATTTATATAACCGCTTTTACATCTGGAGTATGTCTGAAAGCGCTTCACATAGATGACTTCACATAGATAGTCTGGAATTGGGGGATGAAGGGGGAAAAGTGACCGAAAGTGTGGTTGAAAAGATAAGGTCGTAAAGCCAGCTTTAAAGCAGAAGTGCCATTTTAATGTGCTGGTATGATTTGCTTACAATTACACAGTCACTACACTTCGCAGTAAAATCTTGTGAAGCGCTTTGAGACATTAATAAAAAGATATGATTATTATGTAATGACCATGTTCAGGCCCTAATGTAGACAAGTGCATTTTTTATGAAGAATCTATTGCTTTTTGCCCCCCAATTGCAGGGAACGAGAAGGGTGTATCTAGCTTGAAGGAGTTGCCAAAGTTAGGAAGCGTTTGCTGTTGTGAGAACTGCGGCCTGTCCTATACAGTGAACACCATCAGAAGCCAAGGTCACTTCTGCAGTGAGCATTGCCTTCAGCAGTTTAAAGAAAAGTAAGATATTTGCATCAATTCACCGAAAACTGGAAAGGACATTTTATTCCTGATACTAGGTGTGTTGGTAGCACTCTCGCCTCTGAGTCAGAAGATTGTGAATCCCACATCGGGACTTGGAACTCATATAGTCTAAGATGACACTCCAATTCAGTGCTGGGCATGTCCTGCATTGTTGGAGGAGCCAATTCCTTAAGACGAGACATTAACCTGAGGTCCTGTCTGCCTGTTCATGGGGGTGTTAACATAGCATAACATGTAGGAGCAGTAGACCATTCGGCCCTTCGAGCCTGCCCCGCCATTCAATCATGGCTGATCTTCTAATCTAACTCCAGCTAATAACCTGACCCTGCCTTATCCCCATATCTCTTAATCCCTTTTGCAATAAGAAATCTATCTATCTCAGTCTTAAAGATCCCATGGCACTATTCAAAAACAGAATGGAGTTTCTCCTGGTTTCCTGGCCAACAGTCTCTGAAATAATATTGGTCATTCACTTTGTGGCTGTTTGTGGGTTGTTGCTGTGCGAAAATGGGCTGCTGCATTCACCCGCAAAACGCACAGTCACTCCCCTTTACAGAAGTTAGGACTGCTACAGATGTGCCACTCTCTGCAGCATTCGAGCGTTTGATACAGTGCACACGTCCCAGATGGTGTGTTCAGGACGGCACAGGGTCTGTTGGGCTCACCGAGATCACGACCCAACCAGAGACACGTTCTTGCGAGCCACTCGCGGTTTAAAAATAACCCAAACATTTGCGCAGTTGCTCTCACCCTGGCTGTAACCATGAGAAATTCATCACCATGACGACCTGCACACATTATACAAGCAAAGAAACCTTCGGAGCAGGAAAAGTCCATAGCAGTCTGCCTGGTCCAGTTCCAGTTTCATATACCATTCCTCCCTATCTCACGAAAGGCACCGCTCACTCCGAGATGCTACCCTGCGTGAAGGGCGCCATATAAATGCAAGGTGTTTTCTCTCACATTACACAGTCACGTTACCCTGCAGCCAATTTCCACACAGCAGTGTCTCATAAACACTATTAAGTGAATGACCAATTTTATCTCAGGGATCATTGCCCAGGACACCGCGGTTGGGGAACTCCCTTCTCTATTTTGTCTAGCGCCACGGGCTCTTTAACATGCTCCTGAACAGGCAGGTGGGACCTCTATTTAACCTCTCAACCGAAGATCCATTTGCATTTGTCATGTCAGTATAGACTGCGAATTTGAATTCTCGACATAAATCCACAACATTATGACTCAGAGGCCAGAGTACTTAAGTTGGGGTTCCAGAAATCAAACGTCACTGATGGTACGCTATCGACCCAGAACATAACTTGAAAAACAGAATCCAAAACAAGACTCTTTGCCAAAGGTAACAAGACAAGTGATCAATATTAGCCATCCCTAATTGAATTTGTACATGAAAGCCAACAAACGAGATGACTTAAATAATTTACGCTGGGAACTGAAGATCTAATAGTTAGTGCAACTGTGAACAATATAATGGGCCGCAGTCCTCAGTAGCATTATTGATGCCTCTGTAGAAAAGGTACTGCATTTGATAAGAGATTGCCTGTTAATTAGTTTCCATTTGAATATCTGCCTCGGGGAAAACAATATCAGGTGCCCAAGCAACAGATAGCAAACCCCTACGGCAAGTCACAGTACGCTAGAGAGATTTCTTTTGTAATTGGAGCTACATTACAGTGGCGAGTCAATGGCATGGTAAGTGACATGCCGACTTCACAAGATTTATGTATTTTTTTAAATGGAAGCCATAGAATCAACTCGGTTTTCTTTGGGTAAAAAGGGGGCCATGGAGAGACCAGATCACCTATATTTTCTAAAATGTTGAGCAGGATGATCACATCCAACGTGAAAAGACTGCTTAGCTTAAGATATGACTTCGGCAGAACTGGAAGAGGTGAATGCAACGGCATTAAAATTGTCAAGTGAGGCAAGAAAAACTCCCAGAAAGTGTGTGGATAAATTCCTTTTTAAAAAAATATAAAAGCAAGGTGAATATTTAAAAATGGGATTAGACACGCATACAGATATGTTTGATGGTACTGTGTATGATTTTCCTAGATGATATGGTTGTCTGGTACATCACTCAATTCCTCTCACATCCAGTGTATGTCTACTATGGTAGCCGTACAAAATTATTGTTGTCCATTGAACAGGTCACTGAGGATGGAGAGTGCAGCAGTAAAAAGAAGCGCTGGAGCGATACTCAAACGGGTCAAAAAGAGAAAGCGAAAGATGTGCCGGAGTCCGAGGACAGAATCAGATGAAGAGTACGGTTACGAATTTACTGAATCAGAGCAGGTGGTAGGTATGACACACGCATTTATTTGTGATCCAGTTTGGTTTGATACAGAATTGAACTCCCCCTCTCTCTCTCTCTCTCTCTCTCGCTAAATAATAATAATAATGCTTGCATTTGAAATAGACCCTCTCACATCTGTTACGTGTGTGCATTTTGTCGACAGACTCAGCAGCCAATTTGCACACAACAATTTCACACACACAGCCCTGAAATTAATGATCCACTTTATCTTGGTGGACGGTTGGCCAAGACCTCATGAGAAATTCCCTTCTCTTTTTCGAATCGTGCAAGACGATTTTTAGCGTCAACCTGAGCAGGCAGGTGGGACCTTGGATTAACATTTCATTCAAAGGACGGCACCTCCAACAATGTTGTGCACAACCCCAACGCTCTTTGGAATGTCAGCCTGGTTCTTGAGCACTGTCGCGGGACAGGAAACAAAATCCGAAACCCGTGTTTGTTGCTACAAACATTACGCATATTTAAATTGTTGAATGCAGTGGTGCCAATTAAATTTTAAATTTGACACTTAAGATATTTCCAATTTCTATTTAAATTTCTCAATGGTTTTCAGGAGGAACATGAAGAAGAGCGAAAAATTGTCAGAAAACCTTTCGTGGGTGACAAAAGCCAATTGCAATTTGTTGAACCTAGTTGCACGGTGTCTGGACAAGGTATGGGAGGTTCATTTGTCTGTCTGCATTTAAAATAAAATTCATACAATATGACATTGGATAAGCAATACCCATCGAGCAGGAATTTGGCATTTCGCCCACAAAATATACAGTCAATTCACTTTACGGTATATTCTGTGAAGTGCTTTGAGATGCCTCGAAGAGGTTATAAGGCATTATAACAAATGCAAGGATTATTATTATTATTATTTAGACTTGTAGAATATTTATTGCTGCTTAAACTCCAGCAATACCCCAACATGCCACCCCTTGCACTTGTCAGTCTGTGTTTAATACTTCCCTCAGTTTGGGTAGCACCCTCCGGGGAGAGAGTACACACTCCATTCCAGACACAAGGCAATTTTCATGCTTAAATGACATGCATATGTAGAGCAGTTTCTGCGTGTGTCAAGCCTTGAGGTGACCAGAATAATAGGCTATGCAGATGTTTGATCCCCCAGTGAAGCGACCTGCCCTAATCCCGTTCCTCTGCTCTTTCCTTGTATCATTTAATATGATTGTTCCTCGAGTATTTATCCTTTGAAATGCTGTTTCTGAAAAGAAATATTTCAAAAGTTAAAACTAAACTTGGATTTGGGAGTAAATAAGTAAATAGGGTTAATAATAATCCTCACATTTTATCAGAAGTATCTATGTTCACTGTTTTTCCCCCCAGGTATTTCTTCAATGGAAAAGAACACACTCTGGTCTTGGGTTTCATATTTGGAGAGTGAAAAGGCAGTCCCTGCGCCAGTCAAACTCTTTCGAGAGGTAATAACCTTTTGTTAATCATCAGATTCATTTTGTTGTTTTTCTCAGTTCAGCCAGAATTGCCTCCGTTGGTGATTGTGTTCCTTTTTTCACCTGACATTTAGCAAGTAGCACCACTCTAAAGATGTCACTGTGCACTAAGTAAGAAGACAAGTAATACAATGATCACATAGCAAATTGGGACATACACATTGAAATGAGCTTTGCCCGAAGATTCATTCCGTTTCTTTTAGGTAATTTTAAAATAGACTCACTTCATGGCTGTCTGTGGGACATTGCTGTGTGCAAATTGGCTGCCATGTCTGCCAATAAAATACACAGTCACTACACTTTTCAGTAAAATCCTGTGAAGTGCTTTAAGATGTCCTCCCGGTGTGAAAGTCATGGCAAGGATTTACTTCCTTTATAAAGCTGTCAATTTGCTTGAATTTGCCTGAATGTTTGATTCCATATCTCGAGCCTTACTAATGGGAGCATTCACTGTAGACATGAAAATGTTCTCCTTTTATTCCTGTTGTGACACTGAGCTTTTGTTTTTGACAGTGCCAGTTATTCCCCCAGAATAAAAACAGTTTCAGGGTTGGGATGAAGTTGGAGGGTATCGATCCCACGCATCCATCTATGTACTTTGTACTGACTGTGTCCGAGGTACAGAAAGCTTCAATTCATTATTCATATACATAGCGAGTGCAAGTTCAGCCTAATGTAAAATGTCGTCATTGTTTCAAGGACCACAGGCAAATTAAATCACAGATTTGGCAATATTTATAGCACGAAAGAAGGCTATTAGGATCATCAAATTGGCTATTTCTTGCTCCCCACCACCCCCCACCCCTCCGCTTATCTGCCTGTATCCCGTTGCCCTACTCTTTCCCCATCCCTTTTTCTTTTAAACAGTATTCTTCCTCAAATATTTATCCGCAATTGGCTGCTGTGTTTCCTTCTCCTCCAAAAAATACAGTCAATTCACTTTACGGTATATTCTGTGAAGCGCATTGAGAAGTCTCGAAGACGTGATAAGGTGTTATATTAAATGCATGGATTATTATTATTATATATTGTATCCTTTTTTTGTTCATCGAGAGAAAAAGTTACTCAAAGAGGGGAAAGTGGTGACTGAATCTGATCCCTCGCAGGTTTGTGGTTACCGTTTGCGGCTACACTTTGATGGCTATTCAGAGTGCCACGATTTCTGGGTGAATGCTGATTCTCTGGACATCCACCCCGCAGGATGGTGTGAGAAGACAGGGCACAGATTATACCCTCCGAAAGGTGAGAGACACGATGCTGTTTGGCACAAATCCCTCAGACTATCCAAGTGCTTGACAGTGACGGAGCACAATGGTGAGGCAGGGGGAGGAAAACGTAGGTACAGTCGAAGAGGAAGGTCTTCAGGCTTAACCTGAAGATGGGGACGGAGGGGCAAGGCGGAAGGATGGATTAAAAGAGTTCCAGATAATGTGGAGTCCTGTAGCGTATTAGTTAGAGCACGTGCCTCGCAAGCGAGATGACACGGGTTTGATTCCCGGGCAGGGCAAAACCTTAGGCAAGTTTCTTTACTCCACACGGCTCTGTTTGTGTAACTGTAAGTAGGAACCCGGTTGTTAGTTGATTCGCAGATCGTTTTCCAGTGGTAATAATCCCTCAAAAAAAAATCCACGATATCATTATCATCAGAGATATACTGCATTTGATTTTGTTTTGTATACACCCTGTTCCAACAATCATAAAACAACAGTGTAGTTTCAATGATTATGACGGGTGATATTTCACCAACTTGGGACATCGGGATTAAACTCTGCAGAATAAAGGCACACATTTCCCACCAGATGGCATCACACCAAACAGATATGTGGAATGATGCTACGATGCACCCGATCGTCAATATAGTAAAGAATTCTAGATCCTCCAACAGGTTAAAATGGAGACTATATAAGAGTAACGCTATTCACGTATAAGTGTCAGTCTGGCTCAGTTGGTGACATTCTCGCCTCTGAGTCAGAAGTCCCACATCGAGACTGAACTCGATAGTCTAAGTTCATTCTCCAGTGCAGTGCTGGGAAAGTATCGCATTGTCAGAGATGCTGTCCTTTGGACGAGACGTTAAACCAAGGTCCCCCGTCTGCCTGTTCAGGTGGACGTTAACGTTCCCGTGGCGTTATTCAAATAGAGAAGGGAATTTCTCCTTTGTCCTGACCACAATACCCCAAATACAAATTAGTCACTCACTTCATAGCTATTAGTGGGACATTGCTGTGCGCAAATTGGCTGCTGCATCTGTTTACGGGAGGCACAGTCTACGCATTTTGCAGTAAATCCCATGAAGCGCCTTGAGATGTCCATTTGACAAGAAAGGTGCCTTATGAAATGTAAGTATTATTATGATTATCATTAATAAGCTCATTTAAAATATCACACTGTGTTTTTCCAGGGTACAAGGAGGAAGAGTTCAAATGGGCCAACTATCTGAGGATTACCAAATCCCAAGCTGCACCAAAACAACTTTTCTGCAATCAAAGTAATGTGAGTTTTCAGAGAATAGTCTATGGGGAACTTTTACATCAATTTCTTTTTTGTGTGTGGCATAATAGACATTCTACACAGAAGCATTTCTGGCACCGTGGTTTGAATCCAATCAGTAGTTGTGGGGTTTCCTGCTTTTATCTTCATGCAGAAATTAAATTGTGTTCATAAACTCATTACTGTAAGTGGGTCAATGTTGCCTCATAATCTGCCACTTGAATGCAAATAACGGATGAGATGAAAGTTTGGCAGTTGTAATGGGGGTTCTGTGTGTGAAGTGTTTTTTTTGACAGTTCAAATTGAGTTCAGCAAAGTGGGAGCACAAACCTGCGGTAATTCAGGATCGATTTACTCAAAGAAGCTACAAAAATGACTTGTGGAGGTGGTTGGGTGGGGGTGTGGGTAGGGGAGGGGCTTTATATCGTATTTAATTGGGAGTTCAAAAAGTTAGCAAGTTCAAGAAAATAATACATGCACACTTTTCGCTAATGATATAAAGTTCCAGTCAGGAGTTCGTTAGTGCCAAAGCATATTTTCTGCTAACGAACGTGGAACTTGGAATTGAGACAGTGGATTGCCTTTGTGGAAATTTGACTGCATTATTACCAGCCTCATTGTTTGATCCCAATGCTGATCCTATTGATGAATTTCTTTCAGTCTGTCATCCCTTTGGGATTTCGTGTGGGCATGAAACTGGAAGCGGTTGATCGAATGAATCCATCCCTGATTTGCGTTGCTACGGTGACAGATATAGTTGACAACAGGTTTTTGGTGCACTTTGACAACTGGGACGACACCTATGATTACTGGTAGGTCTTTTCGATTGTAAGTAGAATGTTTTGATCATCTCCCTTCGAGGCCAGTCTCTCTGTGACCTACATCTTTCTCCCTTTGGATTATTGGAATCATCTAATAATTGTTATCAACTGTCCCGAAAGTTGTGTGTGGGTGTGTAACTTTTTGGGGACTAAATAATAAAATAATAATCTTTGCATTTGATATAGCGCCTTGTCGCATCATTGAGATGTTTCAAAGTGCTTCACGGAATACACTGTAAAGTGACTGTCTTTTGTGGGTCTCTCTGCCTACCAGGTGTGACGCAAGTAGCCCGTACATCCATCCTGTGGGCTGGTGCCAGGAACATGGAAAGACCCTCACACCACCACAAGGTGCGATTTAGCAGGACATCCATACAACAACAACAACAACAAATATAGTGCCCTTCACGAGGGTGTAGCGTCTCAGACCGCTTGACACATGGTGTCTCAGAGTTGAATTAAAACTCTTTGCAGCCCAAATAAACAAGGCCCCATAAATTAGAAATGCGGTTGGTAATATTTGTCGCAAACTTTTAATCTTCATTAAAACTTAATTTCTTAAAAAAATACTTCCCGCATTGCTACGGTTACGGATGCTCCCCTTTCCCCTGCTCAGCCTGTTTCCTTGCTCTATCATTCTATATAATTCATTGTAATCACTTCCCACCTGACCCTTACAGCTGTTAGACGGGCAATTGAAATACCAGTGCTTAAACCAGATTTCTAATAAGAATTGGGTTTTGTTATAACTTGCTTCAGTTCCCATTTTGTTTTCAAGATTGGAGGATATCTGATTTTACGCAGTGAATCAAGAATAATAATAACAATCTTTGCATTTAACATAGAGCCTTATCACTTCATTTAGATGTCTCTACTAAAGTGCTTCAGAGAACGTATTGTAAAGCGAATTGACTGTATATTTTGTGGGCGAAACTAGGCGTCCAATTGCGCATTGTGTCGAAGCGTTAAGACTCCCTCTTGATTAACTTTAACTCAGGTCATCCCCATCCAGAGCATTTTTCCTGGGATAAATATTTGGAAGGAACTGGATCGTGTGCAGCTCCTGTTCGTGCTTTTAAAATAGTAAGTGCTTTTCACACCTCCTAGAGCTATCGGTGTTCCTCCAAAAGCCTTCACTTGTTGGAGCTGTAACTTTTTTTTTAAAAAAACTATTTTTTAACGTTTGAAACTTTGGCTGATATATTTTCCTTTACTTCCAGCATCCTCCACACGGCTTCCAGATAAATATGAAGTTGGAAGCTGTGGACAGGCGTAACTCCATGCTGATTCGCGTGGCCACGATTGTGGATGTGGATGATCACAGGATCAAGGTAATGAACGAACTACGTTTACTGATATACGCTGCGGACTGACAACATGTGGCAATAGATTGCTGCTTTATATGTTGGCGTAATGGTAAGTCCGAGGAGGCCGTGTTGCGGATTTAGATCTTGGATCAGTCAGTTTCCCCCACTGATTGATCCCAAATCACTGAGCAATGCAGCAACAACACCCTCACAACACGTTTGTTTCTTTTGTGTTAAATAAGGACACCATTTGCATGGAATCAACATATAAAATAGCAGGTCCAGGTCCTACTTTGCGTGTTGGATGAAGCAGAAGGGGCTTCTGCTGATAATTTTTGTCAATGTTTTCTGCCCTCAATCACACTGCTCGTGCTCACAATGCAGGACATCCTGAACAGCTGGAACATCTCTGCCTCAATCCCCCTACTTTGCCCTCTCTTTGACCATCTTCGACTGCGCCTGCGGTCACCTCCCCTTTCTCAAAGGCTCGGCATCAAAATTGTTAAGTGCTCAGAGATGATACCCTGCGTGAAGAGCACTGTGTGAATGCAAATTATTGTTGTGTATTTCTTCTCTGGTTATTTTCCAAACAGATCCATTTTGACGGATGGAGTCATGTTTACAATTACTGGGTGGATGCCGACAATCCCGATATACACCCCGTCGGGTGGTGTGCTAGAACAGGTTACCCTCTCCATCCACCAGTCAGTGAGTACAGTGCCAATCCATGCCGCCTGTTCTCTGAGAATCATAGAATCATAGAACTTGACAGCACAGAGGGAGGCCATTCGGCCCATCGTGCTTGTACCAGCTCTTTGAAAGAGCCACTCAATCAGTCCTGCTCTTACCCCACAGCCCTGCACATGTTTTCCCTTTTCAAGTACCTGTCTAATTCTTTAAATGGTTTTCTTTAAAACTTGGCAGTTCATATATCATTTATATTCATCTTCAGATTGCCCAGTCATTTCAAAGAATGCAACACACAGTATACTTATAAATTTATTTCTAAATCTTAGACGATCTGAGGTGCAATGGATTTGGGATGGGATGAAAGTTGGGTGGGTGTTCTGGAAGGATGAGATCAGATGGGCTGAACCGAACTTGTGAGACAAAAAAAAAGGATCAGAAAATATATTCCAGTAGCCATGGTCTCCCTGGGCTGAACTGCCTCTGAGGAGACACGCCTGGCAAAACTAGGAAGTTAAGCGGTAATCCAAGGCAGGCATGGAGATGGAGTCACATCCTCTTTCTATTTCTCTCCATATACATGAAATCTGCGCTGTTTCTCTACACAGACTCCTTGTTCCTCTTTCCGCTCTGCTTTAGGCTTCTTTTTATTTAACGTAATTCACCCCTTCGCTTTTTGTGCCGAAAATGTTTCAGTGAAAATATGCAATGCTCAGATCTGTCTAAGTCTGTGAAATTGTTTGCTTCGAAATAATATTTGCGGCAGCGCGTGTGATCAAAAAGGACTTGACTTTTCTTTTTCCAGAGGCAGTAGATTTCTCACCAGATCCTGGGCAGGTGGGATGTCCTGTCCCAGGGTATAAGGCAGTTGGACACACAAAAGGTTCAAAGTACACCTCCCATCACAGGTGAGAAACTTCCTTTATAATTCACCTCTGGCAGCAGTACGCACCAAGTGGTGGTAATGACACTTAAAAGGGTTTGTAAAAGTAATCCAATGAAGAGTCAATTTTTGGTCAGTCAATGTTAAATTATTAATAGCTAAGAGCAGAGTGAATTAGCAGACTGTGTTATTTAAGGACAAAACACCAGAATGACCGTCAGTCTGATTTGAAGAGTAAATATTGACCACGTGCTCAATGGTAAAATCTTCAGACGTAAATCAGGTTTTCAAAGATTGCTGAAATTTTTGGACCTTGAAGCAATTCTGAGCTGAGTTGGCTGAGTTTGCAATGAAAGATTTGGGTCAGCTCCCAAACCAGTGATTTTTTTCCATTAAGACTTCTGCTGCTGAACAAACAGCCAAAATATTCAGCATTTATCAGCTTGTTTGCTGTCCACATCAATAAAGGCTCTGTCCAGTTTCTCTCAAAAATACACGGTTACTCAGGATCTCCAGCCATAACAACAATGCGATAGCGATAAAAAAACGTGGTTCTCATTCATCTGTAAATTGGCTTCTTTGTTGAAATTGTGGTTTCACATTGGAAATTATGATGTTACCTCGAGTTAGATAGTGTGTTATAGCCTTTTGGCTCAACTAATCTATGCTGCTCTGAATACTCCAATACCCTCTTATCTCCCTCACTTTTACCCTCTATTCCTTTCTCCCTCATATCAAGTCCTCTCTCATTGGTGCTATTTGCTTCAATCACGGATTCTGCCAGTGAGTTCCATATTCTCACCACCTTCTATGTGAAGAAATTCCTCCTAAACTCCCAATTAGATCTATTGTGTACAGCGTAAATTACATGTATACAGTAAAGTTTAGTGTGTCAACAAATGTGGTGTTATAGTCTGTTTTATGTTTCATACTGGCCTCATTTTATTCACATGATTGCTGGGTAGGTGCTGCAAAAATCTCATTGTTTTTGGTAGAATTTCCAAAAATCTGGATACTTTCTCGACAGAATGGTTCCATCTGTTCTGACCTTCAGGGAGAGAGATACAGTCACAACATTACAGAGTTTATTTTGTTTACCCAAGTACTGTTTGCCTTATTTTTATCCATTGATTTTACCTGCAACAACAATAACAGTGTTACTTTCTCATAGCCCCGGGAGGATGTCTCAAAGTGCTTCACACAGTTGACTGGGAGCCCAACCTGGGGGTGGGGAGCATTCAAGGAGGTGTCGGGGGGCAGGGGGGTGGTGGGGGCTAAGGTGGCCACAGCACGTCTGAAGAGAAAGGTCTTAACTTGGGTTTTAAAGGTGGGGAGGGGATGAGGCAGAGGGATTCTGGGATGGAGATCCAGAGAGTAGGGACAGAATGGCTGAAAGCCCACCCGTTGATGGTGGGGTGAATTGGGTGGGAGACATGAAGCAGGCCTGTGGTTGCTGAGCAGGATGGTAGGGTTACTGGAAATGTAGGGTGAGATGAGGCAATGGAAGGAACCAAGTAAGGAAGGGGGCAATGGGCTCAAAGAGCCTGGATATGGTGGGGAGGGGGAATGCACTGTAAAGAGTGGATGAACTTGATACATTTTTCAATGCCGTGTTCTCTTGTCTTCACTGATTGCTCCAGGAAGTGCCCCACGCCTGGCTGTGACGGCTCAGGCCATGTTACTGGCAAGTTCACCGCACATCACCGCCTGTCAGGCTGCCCGCTAGCTGAAAGAAACCAAGCAAGGGTAAAAGCAGAGGCGTCAGACACGGATGGGTCATCCCGAAAAAGGAATTTCATGTCATTTGGTCGGAGAAGGAAATCAAACCACCACGGCAGGTAATAATGAGAAACACCACAAAGCCAGCTTCAGGAGAATATTCAACAAAACAAGTCAGTAATTTACCTTTGGCACAGGATTTTTACTGCAGAGTATAGTGACTGTGTATTTCTAGGCAAACCTGCCAGCCAATTTGCACACAACAATGTCCCTTGAAAACATGAATGATCAATTTTTATCTGGGGGGCTGTTGGCCAGGATATTATGCAGCATCCCCTCCCTCTCCGCCAGCATTGTATTGGAGCATCAGCTCAGAGTGTGAGTTCCACTGATGTGGAGGTTAAACCCACAGCCTTCTGGCTCAGAGGAAAGAGAGCGACTGACTGAGTCAGGCTGTCAACGTAACAGTTTCCCACTGAAGATTTTGCCCACAAAATATACAGTCAATTCACGTTACAGTATATCCTGTGAAGCGTTTTGAAAGTTCTCGAAGACATGATAAGGTGCTATATCAAATGCAAGGAATATATTATTATATTTCCTCTTCGTACCACCAGAAAAATTAGTATCTTCACCCGGAAGCTCACTTATCTTATGATATGTTATACACACAGATAATTCCCGAATTCCTGAAGTTTTAAATTAACTTTATCCAAGCAATTAAATATTTATCCATTTAGACAGATGCATTTTGTTTGACATGTCATTTTTTTGGTGTGAATAGTTCCTAGGTTTGTTTTTGCATCAGTTCTTTTTATACTTTCACAGAATGCCAATACACACACAGTGTGTACTGAGGAATCAGGGTAACTGGCTGTATTTATTTGAAAAATAAAGCTTACCGTAATTGGTGTGGCAAATTCTGAAATGGCATAATAAACATCGAGATGTATCACAGCAATAACTGCTAACTAAATAACAAATATCTGGAATGCATTGCCTGAAAGGCTGGTGGAAGCAGATTCAATAATAACATTCAAAAGGGAATTGGATATACACTTGAAAAGAAAAAAAATTGCAAGGCTATGGGGAAAGAGTGGGGAGTGTGACGAATTGGATAGCTCTTTCAAAGAGCCTGCACAGGCACAATGGGCCAAATGGCCTTTGATGCTGTAGGATTCTATGATAACGTGATTGATAGAATACCACCACAGATACTTGTTCATTAGCAATTGTGCGAGCGCGTATGTGTGCGCGGGGGGTGGGGTTGGGGGTGGGGGGCTGCGAGTCGGGGGAATGTAGCAAAGAATATTACTACGTGTAATTTAAAAGTTGTTATGTACAAATTTGATAACGTGTGAACTTAAAATCCAGCCTTGTCCCGAACCCGACTGCACCTCTTGAAGCCAAAGTAAAACTGTTCCACATTATAATCATTTTTCGAAGCTTTGTTTGTAGTAACTGATCCCTTCATGCTTCACATGCGTATACCTCAACACACAGCACTAGGCTGTCACACACTTTCCCCTTTGGCTAAACATTGTTAGTGACAACTAATTTGCACACAGAACCCATATTCAATGGTGTAAACTATAATAATCTTTGCATTTGATTTACCTCCTTATCACATTTTTGAGATGTCTCAAAGGTCTTCACAGACTATACTGTAGAGTGAATTTGCTGTGTATTTTGTGGGTGAAACGAGGGCTGATGACCCAATCTACACAGCCTGTGAAGTGAAATGGATATAGAAAGAGAAAGGCTGAGGATTAAATGTGCTTCATAATGTATCGTCACTTGTCTCGGAGCCTAACTATGGTTGATGGGTCAATGAACCTCCTGATATAAAGGGTCGCAGGGCCTCCTACTATATCGTGGACTTTCTTTGTCTTTCAGGATTGGGCGCCCCCCCAAGTATCATAAACTGCAACATGAAGACTTGAAAGTCGGCTTTCAGAGTGAGTTCAAATGCATCATTCTCTGCAGCACAGGTTATTTCTTTGATATCAAGCATGTTCAATATTTAATTTCTAATACAAATTTCACTTATCTCTATTTGGATTTGATCCTCCTCCGACCGGCACACAATTCTGCTTTGCAGTGTTCACACCAAGCAGCCTTCGGATTGCAATGAAACTGCACCGACTGAACTTTGCACGGTTGTACTTCTTTGCTCTGTGCAAATATTGCCGTTTGACATCTTGGTTTGTTTCTGCAGAAGCCAAGCAAATTAAACAGATTGAATCCAGCTCTGACGATTATTTTTGTAAAGTCAAATAACGTGCAGAAAGCAAACTTCAACTGGTATTCCAAAAATCCCAGAGCTCAGTGCTCCTTTCCCTCCTCTCTTATTCTTTCTCCCTTCATCTCCACACGATGCTGACTCCTAATCTATCAAACTTTCCAAACCATGTGTTGGCTTACAGTACCAAAGTTTCGATGTTCCCAAGCAAGCTTGGTTATTTCTGCGGTCAGCCTTATAAACAATCGTAACTCTTCCATTTGATATTGCGTCTTTCACGCCGGGACGACACCTCAAGGCGCTTCCCAAGATTTCGGCAAAAAGTAGTGACTGTTGGTTTTGTAGGCAAACACGGCAGCCAATTTGCACACAGCAGTATCCCACGAACAGCCGCTAAGTAAATGACTGATTTTGTCTGGGAGATTGTTGGCCAAAATGCTGAGAGAACACCCCTTCTCTTTTCAAATAAGGCAAGGAAGGATCTTTGACTTCCACCTGAACAGGCACACTGGATCTCGGTCTAGCATCTCATCCAAAGGACAGCACCTCCGACAATGCAGTGTACACACTGCGTACAGTGTCGGCCTAGACTGTAAGCTCAAAGTCCCTGATGTGGGGCTTGAACCCACCATCTTGTGGCTCAGAGGCACTTGTGCTCCCAATAATAATAATATTCCTTGAATTTGAAATAGCGCCTTATCATGTCTTCGAGACGTCTCAAAGCGCTTCACAGAATATACTGTATATTTTGTGGTGGAACACGGCAGCCAATTGTGCACAGCAGCGTCCCCACAAACAGTCGTGGATTGCGTGAGCAATTTATTATTTTTTTAAGGAATTATTGGTAGCTGGTATTTAGTAGCTTGTGCTAACCAAACTGAGCCAGGCTGACATTGACTTTCAGTGCGAATGTGTCTAAGCTATCGGATGACGTACCTATTTTTCTGCATGTCAGTGCATTAGGTTACATGCGGGGTAACGATCATGATGTCTTTCTGATGCATTTCTCCAGGTTTTCCAAATGATGGTTTGCAGCATGTCTTGCACCAATCAGTCTTCATGTCTGCCATGTCACCGCATCCAGGCCGGTCGCTGCCCCTGTGCTGGGAGCAACACTGCAAACTGCTTCCCGGTGTGTCAGGAATCAGTGCCAGCCGAGTGGCCCAATGGACCGTCGAAGAGGTACAATAGATACTAAGCAGGATGACATTCAGTTGCGGGAGTTCTTTTTCCCTGTGTGTGTGTGTTTTGTGTGTGTGTGTTTGATCCTTTTGAACCAATTTATTATTTTTTGTTGCTGTTGTATTTATAAATACAACAAAGTGAGTGAGTGTATTTACACCATTAAATCGTGTTTTAATAAAGAGCTCTACACAAATCATGAAATTGGAAGCTGTAATTAAAGCTTAAAAAGACTTATTTTCCCCTAAAAAATATTCTTAAGTGTATCTTCCACTGCCAAGGGTCTAAGAACTAATCTCTGAGATTGACTAATAAATCTTGAGCCGCTCAAGATCATTGTAAGTGTCTTTTTATTGTTATGAATTCATATTGAAATACCAGTCATTGTGTGTCTTTTCTTTTAAACAGGTGGGAAGCTTTGTCCAGACACTTACTGGCTCTGAGCACCAAGCAAAGCTATTTAAAGAGGAGGTAGTGTTCCTATCGTTTTAGTATCATTTGGTTTTGCTTTTATAAACATTACCTGGTTTATGTGTAAGTGCTCTGGGTCACTAACCTGCGTAAAGAGTGCTATATAAATGCAAGTTGTTATTGTTGTAAGGCGACAAAATGTACAATATAAAAAATGCGCAGTCATTACACTTTACGGTAAATCCTGTGAAGCGCTTTGAGGTGTCCTCCTGACTTGAAAGGCTCTGTATCCATTGCAAGGATATTATCATAATTATTATTATAAATGTCGTATTTAATCATTGAAATACTCACTGGGTTTAGGAAGGTGTGGTGAACAGTAATGACATTCTTTGTCAAAATTATACGGGGCTAATAAATCACGGGAAATGTATTACGTATAAATGACAAATGATACAGATCTCTGGATGAGTAATAGCCATTACAGTTAATACAGAGCGTTAACACAAATCATACTGTGCGCTTCATACCATGATGATGACCTTTGCAGTCAATAACTCCTCGCGGTCTCAGGAGGAACGCATTTTCAATTACTTTTTCCACTCAATATTTCTGATCTAAAATTACTGTCTCAGAATGTTTAAAATGTGCTTTTGATGGTGGTTCCTAACACTCCACTGCCTTCCACTGCGGAGCACATCTCGCATCATTTCTCTGAATGCAAATGGATCCTGTCAGGCTACACGTTAGCATATAGATTTAGCTTTGATCAATGTATAAAATCTGCAAACATCACAGGCCTCGAGGTGAGAGCATGAACGTGAACTTGGAGCTGCTTCTATTGTTTCCTGGTGCAGTGTGGTTGCAAGTGGTTCTATGTAGATCTTACTGCTTTACCTCACGTCTCCCGGACAAATAGAACATTGACTTCACAAGCTGTTTTCAATTCATAAACTTCAATTATTAAGCGCTCCGAGACACCATCCGGCATCAAAGGCACTATATAAATGCAAATTATTGTTGTTATTATCCAACTCATTTTGGTGTTTTTTGTTTGTACGTTGTCTTTTTTTTAAGAACTGCAGAAAAGCAGCTTCAAAATTGAGACTGATTTCAATAGTTTGTCAAATTCTGGAGGCTCTGAATTGCTAAATTACGCGCTCTGAGACTCTATCCTGGTTGTGGGGCCCTATATAAATGCAAGTTGGTTTGTTGTTGCTACGTTAGCACGGTAAATCTAGACGCCGGTGGAATTTTAAAACTGGTGCTTAAACATTGGAAGAATTCACTTTATTGTTGCACTGACTAACTGTTTTAAAAATCGGCATTAATGCTTAAAAATATATATGTTTAGGAGAGGATAAATGTGCATAATTAAAACGGATATTTGCTTATGTGCAGAGAGCATGAATTAGAAATGGTTTCATTATGTTTTACAGGGGTTTGTGGAAAGAAGATATATTCTCAATTGCATTTTGATTTTGATATTACTGGCAAGTAACTGATCCATGTGTTCACTTTCTATTGCAGTTGATTGATGGTGAAGCTCTCCTTTTGCTCAATCAAGCAGATATCGTGAAGATCATGAGCATTAAACTCGGGCCGGCGCTAAAGATTTATAATTCAATTCTAATGTTCAAAAGTGCAGACGACATTCTAAAATGACATTCCTTTCTATTTAAGTGCAATGCAGGCAGGTGGGAAGAATATTTGTACCCTGTTCATCATTCGGTATTTCTTTTAATTTTACAATGCAATGTGTTCTCTGAATGCCAAGAAGTGTCAAGTGGAATGAATGAGCTTCAAATCAAAACTATTTGTGGTTGACAAGATATACATAATATATATAATATATTGTATATGTGAAGTTGCAACTATTTGCTTGGATTATCCATAGGTCAATGATAATGTACTAAGATTATTCCAGGAAGACGATAAGAAAATATGTCAAAATATATTTGTTTTTACTGTGATCAGTCACATTTTACGTGTAATTTATTGAAGCGCTGATAAATGCTTTTTTTTAAAAAAGTAGTTGTTGGAATATTACTGTACAGGCAACTAATATACATTTCTATTTGGCCACATCTCAATTTGGCCTTATTGAAAGCAAAAGAAAGTATTTGTTTAAAATTGCGGATTAACACAACAAAAATATAATGTGATTTATCTCACACTCAGTGTTTTAGGAACGATTCTGTGATGATAGATGCCAGGATACTGAACTTGTTTTTTAAAAAAACAGCTGAATGCTGTGATGGAAAGACACTGGGCTGGAGATTCGAGAAGGATAATAATAATAATAATAATCCTTGCATTTGATATAGCACTTTTCATGTCTTCTAGACGTCTCAAAGCGCTTCACAGAATATGATAAGATCAAATGCACCGAAAAGCCTCTTCAGTCGAACTGATCTTATGATCTTGTTAAGCATTTTGTGGGAAAATTGGATTGTAGGAGTTTTTTTCCTAAATTATTTCTGGATTTCCATTATAGGAGGACCTCAACTGCAAGTGCTTTTCCAAGCTGAGGTACGCTCAGCAGCTAGAGAAACCTAACTACAAATCTGTGAGCTTTCCGACATTTGTAAAATCTTATTGGACCTTTTGCTATTGCCAGTTACTTGCACGTTTCACTCAAATAAAGCACTTTCAGCACATTGTCTTTTAGTGAGGTTAGTTAACACTATTCTTCAGTGTGAATATTTCCTGTATAAAAGCAGTGAATTAATTGTTTAACTGTCTCCCCGCACTTGTAGATAATTCAACACTCATTAACACACATGGTTCAGCAACAATGAATGATCTGCTCAGACAAGGAGCTTGTATTTCTGTATGGGTTGTTTTGAACATTGCATATGTGCACTCTCAAGGTCTCTACTACAGGACTGACCACTCCTTGTTTTGTCTGATTAGAGCACGCAAACAATGGAGCTCTGTTGAATGTATTACGTGCCAATTCCAGCACAAGTAACCCACTATATATCCCATGTGGGTTAAACATAAATGGCCCGATTCCGATAACCTGTTTAATATTGGTTTCCCAAGGCTTTTGACTTTGCTTTGGGAACAATTGGCATGTTTTGTTACTTTCAATATTTTCGCAACATAAATGTTTTTTCGAAGCAACAGTGACAGGAAACTGGGAAAAACTCCCTTCTCTTTTAACGTCCACCTGAACAAGCAGACAGGACCTCAGTTAAACACCTCATCCAACAAACAGTACCTCCAACAATGCAGCATTTCCCCCAAGCACTCCACTGGAGCTTCAGCCTATACCACATAAGTTCAAAGTTTCAACAAGGGGCTTGAATCCACAACCTTCTAACTCTAAGGTGAGAGAGTGCTACCAACTGAGCCAGGCTTGCACCCCATCGTCTATTTTATGTAATTCAGATATTAATGGAAAACACTTGTGACCAAAATTCCCTTCCACCTGCACAACTTGTCCGTTGTAATCCTGTTGTGTTTATATCACGTAAACTACTGGGCTTCAAGCGTAACAGCAATACCGTCGCATCCATTTTTGAGCAAGTAAGAAGATAAAAGAATGCAAGCAGTATAAAAAGAAGCTTATTCTGTGTGTTTCCTGGTTGCAATAATTTCATATGTAATTGCACCCTGACTGTACACAAGTCAATCGGCTTTTCAGATTGTATTTTACATGTGCAACCTGGGGCTGTACAAATAGATCTATACATATATATTTGTTTTTGTGTGCTACCACATTGTTGTGATACAAAGTTCCAGGAACTGGGATTACTTCCTGCTTACCACTTTGTCCGTGTTGTTGACATCCATCCTCTTCGCCCAATCTCCTGACGACCTCAAAATGCAACCTGTTTAATCAGTGAGTCATGGAAACTCTGAAGCCGTGTGGATTGTTAGCAACACACATGAGAAACACAATTAACTGCCGAATTCCAAGATCTGGCTTGCCAAGTGGCCCAGCAAATTTCCTTGCATTTAATAATATAATAATCCTTGCATTTGATATGGCGCTTTTCACGTCTTCTCGACGTCTCAAAGCATTTCACAGAATAGACTGCAAAGTGAATTGACCGTATATTTGTGGGCAAAACGCTTCTCAGCCAATTGCACACAGCAGTGTCCCACAAACAGTCGTAGATTGAAAATCACCAATTTATTATTGCTTTGTTTTTTTTGGAGGGATTATTATTAGGTGTGTGGAGTAAGGAAACTTGCCCAAGGTTTTGCCCTGCCTGGAATTGAACCCAGGTGTCTCGCTTGCAAGATGAGTGCTCTAACCATTGAGCTACAGGACTCCACAACATTTGACACAGTGCGTTTCACACCAGGATGTCATTGAGTTTGTATCATAGCGTTTCACAGGATTTACTGTAGAGTATTGACAGGTTATTTTGTCGGCGAACAGGGCAGGCAATTTGAGCACAGAAACATCTTGCAAACAGTCGTGTAGTTGAATGACCAATTTTATCTTGGAGATTGTTGGCCAGTGAACCAGGAATAATTCACAGTTTTGTTTTTAAGTAATGTCGGGGGATCTCGAATGTCCACCTGAACAGGCAGACGGGTCTTGAAGTCTCATTCAAAGAACAGCACCTCCAACAATGCAGCGCTGACCTAGAACTGTTTTAGAGTGTCAGTCTAGACTGCGAAAGTTTTGAAACCATAATCTTCTGACTGAGAGGTGGGAGTGTTTCTGGCTAAGGTGGGCTGAATTTGGAAAAAACATACTTTTCCTCTCCACTCTTCCTTTCCCTCACCTCCTTTTTTCCAAAAGAGGTTTCTTAAGTCTTATTGTGAAAGTCTTATTCTGACAATCATGGAATTCATTGTACTTCAATCAGGGAAGTATCAGAAATCTACTCTTCTTTCATCCTACAGAGCAAAAGTCCAGATATCCCATGCTTTCGTGGTCTATCCTTTTTCTATTCTGGACAAGGCTGATATGGTTCCATGACATCTAGGAATGTCTTATCCCCTGATATATAAGCTTATAATAATCACTTATATATAAAATATTATAATTATATTAATTATAATCACGCCTGATAATAATCCCTCAAGAAAAAAAACAATAATAAATTGGTCATTTCAATTCACGACTGTTTGTGGGACACTGCTGTGCACAATTGGCTGCTGCATTTCGCCCACAAATATACAGTCAATTCACTTTCCAGTCTATTCTGTGAAGAGCTTTGAGACGTCGAGAAGACGTGAAAAGTGCTATATCAAATGCAAGGATTATTATTATTATTATTGTTATTATGTTATCGCTGTTGCTTCCTTTAGCTCTGTATGCTTGTATGTTTCCTTCCCTTTGTTTGATAAAGTTTGATAAAATGCCAGGAATCCTGGATCTCCCAGGTCAAATGGGCTCTGAGGAGATGGGCCGGTTGATCTGCAGTAATCCAACACATTGCATGACTGGTCTTTTTGGCTTACCAACCAGGCCCCAAAGGGGTGGACATGACCCTACAAGCTTTAATTAGTGGAAACTGTCTTGAATTGTAAGCTGTGTGGTTGGGTGTGTTACACTGTTTAACGTCTTAAAGTATTGGGTGTAACATGGATTGGATCCCTTTGTCCTCCCTTCATTTGTAAACGTCTCCCACTCTCTGTTCTTCTGACTTTGGGCTACTACTTATCCCTCATATCCTCCATCACACCATCAGAGGCCAAACCTTCAGCCACTCTTGCCCTCTGCTCCATGAGGACTCTCCTATACATAATAATAATAATAATAATAATTCTTGCATACAGTGCATCATCAACTTATTGAAACATCGCAAAGTGCTTCACAGAATATACTGTAAAGTTTGAAATGACATTCTGTTCATCTGCGACCAGAGCTCCCTCAGCCTCCTCGTCCTCCTCGTCCTCTCTGCTGCCTTCGACACCGTTGACCACTCTAACCTCATCCACTGCCTCTCCTCTCACCTCAACCTTCACGGCTCTGTGCTTAACTGGTTCAGATCATATCTCACACCGCCTCCACTTCACCTCCACAAATAGTTTCTCCTCCAGCCCCCGCACCGTCTTGTGTGACGTTCCTCAGGGCTCTGTCCTTGGTCCCCTCCTCTTCAATATCTATATGCTCCCTCTTGGTAACATCATCCACAGACATGGGGTCAACTTGCACATGATTGCAGATGACACCCAACTCTACCTCTCTGCCTCCAGCTTTGACTTCAAGTCCTGGATGAGAGCTAACTTTCTTCTGTTGAACATCAACAAGACTGAGGCTCTCCTGATTGGCTCCCGTCAGTGCCTCCATACCTCAGGCGCTGACATTATCACCATCCATGGTTGTACACTCCACCTGACTGAGCCAGTCTGGAACCTTGGCGTCTTGTTTGACCCTCACTTATCCTTTCTACCCCACATCCATGCCATGACCCGCTTTGCCTTCCCCCACCTTGCAACATCACCCGGCTCCGCCACTGTCACACGCTGCAGGCCACTGAAACCCTCATACACGCATTCATAACATTGAGGCTTGACTATGCAAACTCCTTGTTTGTCTCTGCCCCCAAACTCTCTGGAACTCCATCCCACAGTCTCTCCGCCTCGCCCACTCCCTTGCCTCCTTCAAGACCCATCTCAAGATCCTCCTTTCCGACTGTGCTTTCGATCGCCCTCCTTCCCCCACCACTGGCCTCCACCCTTCCCAATCCTGACCCCCAGTTCGGGTCCGAAACACTGATTATCCAGCGCCTTGTGGCGTCCTCCAAACATGAAAGGCGCTATACATATGTGATTTTGTTGTTGTTGTTGTTAAGTGAATTGACTGAGATATGTTCCTGACGTGAAAGGCGCTATACAAATATAATTTGTTGTTGTTGTATATTCTGTGGGCGAAACGCAGCAGCCAATTGCGCGCAGCAGAGTCCCACAAACAGTCTGGGATGGAGTGACCAATTTTTTTTTCCAAAATGTCAACAAACAAGATGCAGAACATAAATCTCACCAAAGGAAATTGAATACGTTTTTGTAATTTTGAAAAAAAAATACTGC